CCGACGGTTGAACCGTAATCTGTCTATCTTGTGCACTCTTCTGCCGTGGCATTCAACCCGAAGTGACGAGAAGCCTGAGAATGCAGGCCCCTGTTTGCTATCATACCTCTTGGCCACTCTGCTTTCCCCAAACTGGACTGCAGCGCTGTTGCGTTCGACTAAAGTGAAAGAAATCACCTTAATTCCTGACGTACGATCGTCAGCTTTGGCTTAGTTAGCGAAGGTCCTAAAATCGGGCCGTACGTGCATGTGGCACTGGTTAGCCGGAGGTTTTCGCGTCACTCCCTTCACCGGTCAACACAGACGGGTCACTGGTGCACAAGAAATGGAGAAGGGAGTGAGACCGACACACCCAAGGTATTTTTATGATAAGGCGACTCAAATTCCTAACAATGACGTAGAAACGATAGAACACTTGAAACAGGGGGTAAACAGACTCCGTATGGGTGGTAAAGGCCACGGCCAGGCTAACAGCGTCGGTCAGTTTATAATTGCAAAACGAAGAACGACAGAAAATGCAGGTAGATTGGTACAGTCAGTTTCAGGGTTATTGAGGCTGCCGTAACCCTGACAAGAAGCTGGAACTTGAAATACAGACAGGCGTTAATTGATCGGTGTACGCCTACTCCTGTTCGAATACTGTCTGATCTGCAGTGACAAAGGGTGGCAGGTGCCGAAGCACTGATGAACTATGCTTCGGTTAAGTGCCTATGACGCAGTCTGTCGACTATCTATATCGTACTCGAGTGCATGTTTGTGTTTCCAGTCCCCACTGGTATTCAGTGTTCTGATTGGCAGGTCGTATCAGTCTACTTGCATTTTCTGTCGTCCCTCCTCTCTGTGATTGAGCACTTATCGCCCTTACAAAATATAGACACGTTTTGATTGTTTACAGGTTAATTCCTTAGGGTTCCCTCGTAAGATATTGCCTGCCTAATTGTTGCATACCTTCTACCCACGGGTTTTTGTTCGGGAAACTTTTGAGCAAAACCGGTGAAAAGGCTCTTCTTTGTCCCTAGCACCCCCCACCTGTCGTCTATCTCTCCTTGTTCTTTGTTTGGCGGTCTAATGGTTGAGTCGTCGCTCACCTCACCTCGCTTCAGCTTTTTCTTTTCATCACTATTGATAGTTGTTGACAGTGTATGAGTAATCGCCTTAATGACAATCGTTTCCTTTTTTTCTCTATCTTAACTCATCGGCCCATTTATTTTGTCTTCTTGTAGATCGTTGTTCGCGCCTACGACTACCACGGTCAGCCCCAGACGGTTGGAACGGACCCGATCACTGCGCACTTCACAGATTCGCACGGCCGCGAGGCGCCTTGTCAACTGCTGGACCTGGGCAACGGCTCTTATGAGATCACTCTGCTGCCAGTCTCCTCCGGTACACACAAACTCTCAGTCAATATCCTGAGTCGGCCAATCCGCGGATCTCCCTTCCTCATTGGCGTCAAAGCCCGACAGGCGCCTCATTGGTGTCTCCATGAGGGTAGGTTTGGCACGCCGTTGTCGGTTATCAACAAAGAATTACACATTGGTCATACAGAAAACTCACTAGGCAATTTTCCAGTGTGGTTATGCAAGTGATATGTTTATCTTGAGTTAGAATATGCATGTCCCAAAAGAAAGCAAAGGGAGTCGTTGAGTATGTGATTGACGGTGTCCGTACAAATTCCAATATATTTTGCATAAAACGTAAGTA